TTTTTGAACGAATTTTTAGAATATAGAAGGATGAAATTATGATACTAGAAGTGATTTGAGGATAAAAAAATAGTTTATTAGGGTACGAGAATTTTAGAAAAGAATTTAAAAAATTAAATGAGGCATAAATCTTAAATTAGTATTAATATGGATTATAGATTTAAGACTTTCTAACTTTTTAAATTAGAGTTATTTATTTTAATGTAAAATTAATATATAGTATTGTGAAATAATTATGTAGATTATATTGATAAAGATAGTGGTGAAAAAGGAGTTGTGAAGGGAAACTTATTATTCAAGACACAAGGTAACCATTATTAATGTGTTGTGATGGGTGTATTTGTGAATGGTTATGTGTTGTTTTATTGTTTGGAAAAATTATGAATTATTAAAAATAAATACTGTATATACTTGTTTGAAATTATTGCCAAGTGGGTTAAAAATTTATTTTTGTTTATCATAATAAAATATTATTGTTCAGATATATTTTTGTTTGGATATTTGAATGATGCGTGACTTGTCAGGGCATTTTAATGTATGGTGTTAATGGAAATTTCTGTTCGGTTAATTATTACCACGTGATAAGCCCTCGTTGGACTCAATGAGTGGCGTGTCGTTTGGTCTAACTCACATTTGGCCCAGTGATTTGGCGTCCGAGCATGGCGAAAGGAGGATATAAAGTGTAGTCATGTAAATTAAATACTTGTTCGGTTTGTTTGAAAATATTGTTCGGTTAAATATTTTGTGTGCCCACTTAGCAATCGCATGATTAGTTACAACCGCATGTATTATTACATATTAATTTTTAGTTACTAAGACTTTTAAGTCTCATTCCCCGTGGTTAATATTTTTACTGGAGCGAGTCCGGCCGAGAAAGCACCAGAGGTGTAACTATGGTGTATGAGACACTATCTTTTATGTTGCTTTTTATTTTGGATTATACAATGTATCTTGTACCAACTTAGGACATATCTTCTTTGTGAAGCATGTAAACTCTAATCCTTTTTATTAAAAGTATTTATATGATTAAGAGAATTATGTCTGTCCCTCTTGATTTATGATCTGATTTGAATATCATGCCATGAGGATTATGTCTATCCCTCATGGTTTTAATTACCTTTTTGGATATTTTAAGACTTGTGTTATGTCTTGGATGTATCATGGTAAGAAAATTTTCTACCATGATAATAGTTTTAATAATTTATGAAAAATCGGTTTGTATTTTTGAGGATGTTACAAGATGAGTATTAATTTTTTAGTAACCCAAAGTTTTACCATATATGTACAAACCAACAACATATAAATAACATTACATGTATGCATATAATTTTATCATCATTGTTAAATTATGAGCATAAAAATTTATGAGTCATCATTCATAGTAGTTATATACAAGAAAGGTAACCCCTTATTATTGCTCTGTCTAATCTTATACCATTGATTGAAACTATAAGCTTATTCACGGTTTGGCTTACACATTGGACTGCCCAAAACATTTTCAATACTCAAGGTATACTTGGCCAAAAATGCATAGCCCAAACTCTAGGTCTATGGCTCTCTTCTTTAAATAATACAATTAGGAAGTGTCATTGTCCCAAATTTTCTTTTTACAAACTTGACTAGGTAAGTATGAGGGAACAAGGCTCTGAAAAAGGCTAACCATATGGTCTCAATCATGTATGTATATTAACATTCACATTCACCTCATTAACATCATCTCCATAACACATCACCAATACATGATATGCAACTATCACAATATACAATACCCTAAATAATCATGATAATAAGTCACAAACATGCTTGACAAGATGAGAATAACTCATTACATTTTGCAATCATAACCTTTACGGCTTTTTAATAGTTTATCACATAGCTTGTAAAAATGTATTATACTCAGTTAGACAAAAATACACACGAGCATACTTGTATAAATCAGCACAACAAATATAGTTAGGAAAAACCTTGAATTATCTATCCTTCTTTAGCTTACAAATAGTTATCCATCTAGGCAGCAAGTGAGAGTGGGTGGTCTTAAAAAGCCTTAAATCATCCTGTAAATATCTAATCATAGAGCCTAATTCCTAAACAAAAAATGATAATTAAGGACCCTTTAAGAATATTAATCTCAATTAAGGACCATAATATTTTGAAATCTCAATTAAGGACCATGATCCTTAATTGGAATAAAAAAATGTAGTTTGTGAAAAGATTCACTAACCCAATTTAAAAAAATTGCTAACGTATGTTGTGAAAACATGAAACCTCACTTAAGAATAGATTGTTTAATAAAAAGTATCACTTAAGAATTCACTAACCCGACTAAAAAAATTTCTAACGTATATTGTGAAAACATGAAACTCCACTTGAAAATTGATTATTTAACAAAAATCACTATTTGAGAATTCACTAACTATACCTAAAAAAAATTTCAACGTATATTGTGAAAAAATAAAACTCTACTTGAAAATCGATTATTTAACAAAAAGTGACTTGTCCAAATTGAGGGTTTTTGTTAAACAATTAATTTTTAAATGGGATTTCATATTTTTATAATATATATTAGAAATTTTTTTAAGTCAGGTTAGTAAATTCTCAAATAATGCTTTTTGTTAAACAATCAATTCTCAAAGAGGATTTCATATTTTCATAATATACGTTAACTATTTTCTCAAATTAGATTAGTAAATTTTCAAGTAGTGTTAGTGAATCCTACCTTACAAACTAGATTTTTTTATTTCAATTAAGAACAATTAAGATTTTAAAATATTATGATTCTTAATTGAGATTAATATATTTAGAGGATGCTTAATTGTCATTTTTCTATTCCTAAACTCTCACTTCCCTCACGCTCTCTCCCTGCAATTGCTCTTGAGCCGCGCAACGAATCGTGTAATTCGTGACTGTGTACATGTCTTTTAGGTATAATGAATGGGATTGGAGTGGGCCTTGGGCCACTCCAAACCATTTTCTTTTAGTATTATGTGTATGATATGAATTATTCTTTTTATTAAAAAATATAAAATATTTTTAAATTAATTTTATTTTTTTTATATTTATTCCTATTAAATACCCTACAATAAATATAAAGTTATTATCAATAGAGGTACTTTTAAAAAAAGATAATGATTACAACTCGAAAGATTAAAAATAGTTTACATTTTTTAACATTGAATTTCTTAAAAAATACCTTATATTTTTTAACGAAAAAAATATAAAATATACATTATATATTATAAATATACACAAACACATTATTTTTTCGATATATTCTATTATTTTCAATCAACCACCAAATCTTTTATATATGTGTGTATTTATTCTTTAAATTAAAATTTATTCTATTTTAAAGAATTTTTCTCAAGTAATTATATTATATATTTTAACTACCATAAGACAATATCATTTTTAGATCTTATAATCAATTAATTCTCTTTCTTAAATTATTTTATTTATTTATAAATTTTAAATTTTTAATAAATGTTCAATAATTTCCCATACCTCAAAAATCCCTTCATATATATATATATATATATCAAAATTGCTTATAATTAATTTATTATATCGAGATAAAAATTTAGAATGTTACATCATCAAAAAAACAGGTATAATTTCCATTTTAAACAACAATTAATTCTCTCAAGTCTCATCGCAACACACATATATATGAATGATATTTTTTTTTACATTAAATTTTAACCAGATTTAAGTTCATTGATCCTGCATGGTAAACTTAGGCTTATTTGATCCTACAGGACAATAAATGTTGTTCAGTGATCTTCGGTCGTGATTTTCCCCATAATTAATTAGAAGTCCACCGAAAAAATAATAATCATTTAGAATTTAATTAATTAGGCTTGGGTTAGGACTAAAATCCTTTCATGATCATTTCTTCTTATAATGATGGAATCTTGACTTAATGCGTGCGCACACGCCATTTCAATGACTTAGCGGTGAGACACTACTATAATTTTTTATCAAGTTAAAACAACTGTAATGTACTAATGTTTATGTGCATTAATTCAACCAAATAGTTGAAGGGTTCTTGTCCACCATAATATAAGATTTTCGGCACCTTTGCCAGATTTTGATCGGTGATTTAATGATAAAACAAAAAATACCATATATACCATCTCGTATATATTAAGACAACTAATGAGAATTCTTATCTTTTAAATAAGTGTTTGGGGTCTAATAATTAACTTTTAGGTGCGAAACAAATTTAATTAGGAGAGGTCTGTGATTTATATTTCACGTTTCAAGGGAAATTAAATTAATTAATCCTTCAATAAGGATTAATCTTTGTTGCCGGTCATGACTATTGATCTCACTGGCAATAAAATAAAATAAAACATTATAAATTCATAATGGTCCGCACTTATCAATGTAAATAACTAGCTTGTTTTTAGTTTTTTTGTGTTTTTTTTTGCCAACCGTAAATAACTAGCTTGTTAAAAGGTCACTCCTATATCTTATGGAAAACATAATATCTATTCAATTTTAAACAACTGTCATGCATTTTTTTCTGGATAAAATGGAACAAACATTTGTCATATGCATTTAGATTTAAAAGATCATACACCAGCCTCATCTTTTATAATAAAAGAAAACTGTTTGAGTCAAATAACGAAGGATAATCTTTACATTTTCAAAATTTTAAATCATGATAAATTAATTTCAACAGGAAAAAGAAATTTATTATTTCCCTATTTTAGGTTTACTTCAAATGACTGTTCCGCCTGTGAACTGTGATCAAATGACCGTTAGGATTGGTAACGTAAAATCTTGCAGCGCATTGATATTCGCTAACATTTTCGAATGGCCGTTTGTTAACGGCCTTTGTAAATCGTAATCAACTGCCTATCTCCTCCGACGTGGAAAATAAATTATTTGTTTGTTTTTTCTTTGCCGATAAAACAAAGAAAATATTTTTGGCCACAAAAGAAAATGGAAATGGCTGTTGGATGTCCATCTTTGCTTCTCCCACCACTGCGAGGGGAAACCGAAATAAATATACAGAAAATAGAAACTTCAACGACGTTGTCATTTGTCATTGACACTCCCCTCAGGCTTCAGATTTACACGGACCTGTTTGGTGTTGGTCCATTTTCACACTGCGAGAGAGAGAGAGAGAGAGAGTGCAATCGACGACTCTCTCTCTCACGCACATCATCTTATTGTCGGTTTTGTAGTTTTCGTTTTCTCTTCCAGATCGTGAATGGTGAAGTTTTCTTCAGGTACTGATTTTTTCTTTTCCTTTTTTCCTGTTGTTATCACTTTATTCCCATTTTTAGAAGCCTTTACCATTTCCTGCTTTTCTTTGAAGCTACGTCTCGCAGATGATAACCGTCTTTAGAATGGTCTGTGTGAAGAGTGGATTAAGCTTATAGAGAAAGTTCAGAGATCTGGCGGTCTTTTGATCTTGTGTGACTCGTTGGGCGTGTCAATGAATGTTGAAGAAAACAAGAGGGATTAATGCGTGGAATCTAACTTTTTGGTCGTTGTACTATCGTAATTACTCATTTACGAATCGATTCATCATAGGCATTGTGCTTTAGTATTCAATTATGTTCTTCTCTATAAGAAAAATATTCGTATCCAATTCTCGTCGATGGATCACGATGAACGCTGTTTGAGAAGCGAACCGTACGTGGTGGAGGATTCATATTCCTGAAGTAAGTGCTCTATGAATTTTGTTCCATTGATTTCCGCCGAATGTGTCGTGGAAACTGGGAAGGTGAATTCCTTTAATTACTGCGCATAACATGACGCTTCTAAAATCTCCATGATTATGAGAGAGAAAAAGTGATGTACGATGAAAAGGATCGTCTTATTTGTTAGTCATCAGCGTGCGGTTATACGTTAAATTGGATTTACTTCGTTCCCAAGCATTGGGGGCCGCCATCATGGAAATTTTTTTTCGTTTCATTTCAGTTGGTTGAAGGAAGATTAATAATTAGAAACTATACTTTCTACATTTTGGGACCTGCCATTGCTTTCTAGTTTCTATCCCTTTTTTCCGGGGCTCATCTCATATCTCATTCTTCATTCTTCCCTCTTTTTACAAGCAAAAGACCAGCATATGCTATTATCACAACGGACCCATGATTGGTCATTTTTTAATCTTTGAAAAAAGTGGTTTTGGATCGTGACATTATGCCTGCGACAGATCATTTGTTATTGACAGAAACGTAATTAGTTGGCATTCTGTTTTACCTTTCTTTTTCCTTCTGGTTGTTGGATGCAAAGCAAGGTTAGCTTGTTGTCCCCGTTGTTGCCTATTGAGATGTTGCCTCTTTGTATATATCCATTATTAGAATCTTATTCATAATTTCACCCTCCAAAAAAGGAATCTTCTCCATAATTTTCAAATGAAGAGTTGATGAGTATCATGTGAACTGTCAGGGACATTTTTACTCTTAATATCTTGCATTTTAGGAAAGACACCTAAGTTTGGATTTTCAGGCGATGGGCGTGTTCTGATAATCTTGTGCACCGAATTCTGAAGAACAATAGGTTGAAAGTGAGCAATGGGGTCTATCGGCGGGGAGGAGTTGGTCAAATGGGAGAAGATGCAAGGATTGTGTGGTCGTGAAGAGAAGATTCTCGTGTTAGTAAGGTTAAGGCCTTTGAGTGAGAAGGAAATCACCGCTAGCGAAGTAGCAGATTGGGAATGCATCAATGACACCACCATCTTGTATAGGAACACTCTGCGGGAGGGCTCCACATTTCCAAGTGCACACACATTTGGTAAGCAAATGTCTCTGATGCCTTCTCCTTGGCGAGTTTGTGTTGCCACTAAATTTGAATTATACAGTTTCATATTTACCTACAAGAATTGGGATCTCACAATGTGGGTCTGATTCATCAAACATTTTTTATTTTTCTAGTAGATCACTGTCTCTTGCATGGAGAACAAGATCTTGAGCAGTTCAATATTCCGTTGCTTTGTAAAACCGTGGTTTTTTTTTTTTTTTTAATCTTGGGACAAACCATTTGGTGATTCTTTCTAGTTTTGTTCGTTAGATTCAAGTCACGTTAATTGCCAAAGCGCCAATTCCTTCCGTTACTACATTTATTTTGAATTTTAATCTGAAGTAACTTTGTTAGACTTTGAAAAGCATACTGCGTCATTTTGTTAAAGGATAGTATTTAGAAGCATTTCTAATTTTAATACGCACTTGCACAAAAGGTCCATTTATCATAGACTGAATATTTCTGAATATTTGGTTTATGATTTGGTGGTAGACAGAGTATTTCGCGGTGACTGCCCCACAAAGCAAGTATATGAGGAAGGAGCCAAAGAAATTGCTCTTTCAGTTGTTAATGGAATTAACTGTAAGTATAACTTGTTTTGCTCGCTGATTTCTTTGCTTATGAGTTATTACCCACTTTCCACTGGATCATTTTAAGTCTTTGACTAATATATGATTCTGTATATTTCTTTAGCAACTATATTTGCATATGGACAAACAAGTAGCGGAAAGACATACACCATGGTTGGAATAACTGAGCATGCTGTAGCAGATATATTTAACTATATAAATAAGGTAACAGCACTAGCAATCAAGTGACCTGCCTTTTTTATTCTTCAATATAGTTATTCATCGGAGACATGTCAACATGAGGTTGCTCTTACTTTTATAGCATGAAGAAAGAGCATTTGTCTTAAAGTTCTCGGCAATTGAAATTTACAATGAAATTGTTAGAGACCTCCTGAGCGCAGACAACAGCACACTTAGACTGCGTGATGATCCTGAGGTGAATATCTTTGATTTAATGTATTGGAACTTAATTGATGAGTGTGCACTTATAAAGGTTCTCATGATCTCTACTTTCATCAGAAAGGAACCGTTGTAGAGAAACTTACTGAGGAGACTCTACGGGATTGGGGACATTTGACAGAGCTCCTTTCTTTTTGTGAAGGTAAGGGAATACACCTAAGGCTGTTGTTCTGGGGTGAAATGTCCCATTGCATTGATTACTATATTATTGCAGCTCAAAGACAGGTGGGAGAGACTTACCTGAACGAAAGAAGTTCTAGATCTCACCAAATTATCAGACTAGTATGTGCCTTTGTCTTTTGCTGGTTAAAACCTATGCTTTAGATTTTTGTCACTTATGGAGATATCTTAACAATAGATTTGTAAACTTGCAGACAATTGAAAGTTCCGCGCGAGAATTCTTGGGTAAAGGCAACTGTGCCACCCTGTCAGCTTGTGTGGTATGCCTATATTCTATTCCTCCGTGCTTGTTCAAGAAATGGTTCTTATAGAATTTAGATTGATTAGATTTGTTTTGTTTTTGTGCAGAATTTTGTTGATTTGGCAGGGAGTGAGCGTGCATCTCAGGCATTATCAGCTGGTACAAGATTGAAAGAAGGTTGTCATATAAATCGGAGTTTACTTACTCTTGGAACTGTCATTCGTAAGCTTAGGTTGTCTACCTCTTCCTTAGTTTGTGATATCTGCTTTGATTTCGCAGTCTGTTATCGGCGAAACCTCTGGTGATCATGTTGTCTAGTGTTTTCGTTTGTGTGAAATTAACTGACAATATTAAGACAACAGGATGGCCTTTTTCTTATATGGTATAAGCGATTAAATTTCTTTTCGGGAGCTGAGTGAGGTTTATGTACTGTCAATTTCATCCACGGGTAAAAGACATGACTGAAACAAAGAGAATCATTCTTTATACTATGACGAATCAAATATGTCTTGCCATTAGAAAACATAACTGATAGGGCTACTCTTTTCCTTTTTAAAAAAAAAAATAAAATAAAATAAAACTATTCATATGCTTTTGTTGGCCTAATGTGATTGAATGCAGCAAGGGAAGACATGGACACATCAATTACAGAGATTCTAAGTTAACACGCCTACTGCAGCCTTGCTTAGGTGGGAATGCTAGAACAGCCATCATTTGCACTTTGAGCCCCGCTAGGAGCCACGTTGAGCAGACTAGAAACACACTTCTTTTTGCCTGTTGTGCAAAAGAAGTGACCACTAAAGCACAGGTTAATGTAGTGGTGTCTGATAAGGCCTTGGTCAAGCAATTGCAAAAAGAGGTGGCGAGATTGGAGAGTGAGTTGAGAGCGCCCGCTCCTGCTACTTCCAGCTGTGATCATGCGGCATTGCTGAGAAAGAAAGATCTCCAAATAGAGAAGGTCAAAATTTTCTTTTTGGCCCTAACAAAGAAGGAAATGATTTGAAAAACTAATCACAATATTCCGTACCAGTGAATCCTAATTGAGACTAATATTGATACGCTTAGACAAAGAAATAAACGTGAGCAAATGTCATGATGAATCCGAGATTCCACAGTCTTGTTGGAGCTAAAGCAAAATGAGAGAGATTATACATTATTATATATATAATTCCGCAATCATGCACCAGCATATTACATTTTTCTTAGCAAACTTGTGCTTAGCCATTTCCAGTGCCTGAATTATAATTGTTTTGGTGAAATATGAAGCGCTATTTTATATATCCAAATAGCTAGATTCTTAGTAAAATTTCCGCTTAGAGATACATTGTTTAGGCACATCCATGATAAATTTTCTCTCGATGTTGATAACATGGTTTCTAAAATTTCAGATGGGGAAGGAGATCAGGGAGCTAACTCAGCAGCTCACGCTCGCACAATCAAGGATTGAGGATTTGCTAGGCATGATTGATAATGATCAGAAATCCGGAAAAGTAATTATTTCCTATTTCCTGAGATGTCTACAATGCGTGAGATTTCATGCTTTAAATTCGGAATCTTTTATTTCCATTCAGGCTGGCATTGATAGTCGTCCTCATATGCTGGAAGGGGAGGATACCTGGGAAGATGACTGTTCAGTGCGAGAGTCATTAAGCATTTCCACTCCTCATCATCCAGATGCACGCGTTAGAGAGTTTAACAATCCTCACTATGATAATGGAGATTGTGGAAGTAATCCCGAGCAGCCCTATCACCAGTCTGAAGGGACTGAAGATCATTCACATTCTGATGGTAACGTTTTCTTCTATACCTTTAGTCATCAATCGGGGAAAAAAGTGGTATTTTCAGAGCTGAACTGTATCAAATAATTATAAATTCGTTATTTTTCCTTTAGAATTCTCTGATCAGTTCTGCAAAGAAGTTCGATGTGTCGAGAAGGAGGATTCAAACAGAGAGAACTCAGAATTTCTTCATTCAGCAAGTGAAAATGGGGGGTTGGAATTACCAATATCCGAAGAGGTAGTTGCATCGGTCCAGGAAGAGTTAACCTCTGTGAATGAAGATAGGGAAGCCAATCAGGTCCGTGATGGTCCTGCACCTACATATGATGCTGTGGAGCAGAGAGTCCATGATGTACAAATGACCGTTGAATCTCCTGTATGCCCGCACCCAGATGGACAATCTCCTCGGGCCACTTCACCAAATATGTCAAATTTGGGGAACTTCAACTTATCAAGGAGCTGGAGTTGCAGGGAATATTTCATGACTGGTTCTCTAGAGAGCGCAGGAGAATTAGAGAGGACTCCTGCCAATGGGGTTGAGAAAGGATTTCCTGGAAGACCTGAAAGATTTCGGAGAAAGCTTCTTCATTTAAGGTTTGATCCGGCCACAAGGTTGTCTAGGGATGGTTCTCTGTCTTCTGCTGGAAGTCCTTGCCTAGGCAGCATGAGAACACCTGGCAATGAGGATATTACTAGCATACAAACTTTTGTTGCTGGGATGAAGGAAATGGTCAAGCTTGAGTATGAGAAGCAACTTGTTGATGGTCAGGTGCGGCGAAATCATTTCAATCGCTTTTAAATTTTTTTTTCTTCAAATTGTTAATTCCTGCGATCTTTTATTTCATAAAGTTCAACAACGGAATTTTATGTTTAAATTACTCATTAGTTGTCCTTGTATGTAAATTACTTATATCTGATGATAGTATGTTTTCAAGAAGTTCTTTCTTTTTGCGGGAAATAGTGGGAGAGTCTTTAACCTCTAGTTTATTTCGATATGGATATTGATCGATAATTGTGGAACGCATGGAACAAAGTTCACATAATATATATTTATATGGTAGCTTTTTTTGGCTACTTCACCTTGCGTTTAGTGCTTAAAAGAACTCATTTGTCAATCATTATTGATTCAGGCCTTTTATGCTTTTCCTCTATTCTTCTTTCTGAATTGCAGGGTAAGGAAACAGAGAGAGGAGCTTCTACATTAGAAAAGAATGTGAAAGATGTGGGTATAGATTCAATGCTCGAGGCACCTGGAACTCCTTTGAATTGGACCCTTCAATTCGAGAGGCAGCAAAAGGAGATAGTTGAACTGTGGCACACTTGCCATGTATCATTGATACACAGAACCTACTTCTTTCTTCTGTTCAATGGTGATTCTTCAGACTCCATTTACATGGAAGTAGAGCTTCGAAGACTATCTTTCCTGAAAGAAACATGTTCTAAGGGGTCTGAGAAGGCTGGCCAGAATAACACATTAGCTTCAAGGTGCTCTCTTAGTTTCTCTTTATCATGCACATCTACTTGAGAATCTCGCACATATGGTTTGGTTACATACAGGACATGTGTAGTTGAAAATTTTGATCTGATCACGTGAGGTATACTTCTTTTCTACTTAATGACAAATCTTATGATGCTGTGTTTAAGAAGTTTTCTTGAGAATTACATGCGCACAGCCTAGTTCTTGTTAATAATGAAAAGGAGTGTCATGCTGCACGTCGCCTTGTTCAAGGCTTGTTAGCATTTGATACTGGACATGCCAATTAGGGCTGATTGAATGACACAATCAAGCTACATTAACCTAAACACTTTGGGTTCAATTCTTGCTACTGTGCTGGCGTCAATTGAGAGTAAAAAAATATTTTTTTTAAAAAAAAGTCTCCCACTGAAAAATTGAGATGGATGAGTATGCAAATGAAAAAGTCAATAGGTGATAATCAACCTATTCATATATTTCATTTCAAAGTCCAATGAAAAAGAAGGCTTAAAGAATCTTCTTTTGAGGAGCTCTGAGACCTTGCTGTTAATGTCTAGTTAATGAAGCCTGCATTAGAGTTGAAACAAACCATCCACCTCCTAAATTTTCTTGAAACTTGATAGAAACAAATTACGTTTTGGGCATTGTATTGTGCAAATGCAGACCTGGCTCTATATGTACCGTTATCTAAAAATAATATCACATATGAATAATTGACCGGGCCTTGAATAATATTAAAGTTCATTCCCCTATTATACTTTTCTTGAAGAATATGTAGTAAACGGATTTTACTCACATTGCGTGTGTATGTCTGGGGACGCAGCATGAAGACTCTTCGGCGCGAGAGGGAAGCTCTGGTGAAGCTGATGCAGAAAAGGCTTACTGAGGAAGAAAGAGAAGATATATACGAGAAGTGGGGTATTGCATTGGAATCAAAACGCAGGAGGATGCAACTTGTGAACCTTTTGTGGAGCAACACTAATATTACTCTCGCAAGGGAGAGTGCTACTTTAATTGCTAAGTTGTTGAAGTTCTCAGAGAAGGGTAAGGCACTGAAAGAGATGTTTGGCCTCAGTTTCACGCCCCGTTACTCTAAAAGGAGATCTTTTTCATGGATTACTAGCAAACCACCACTTTTATAGGCCCTTTTTTGTGCTTATTATAACTTAGGAGGGTACACCTCATGTTTCATGTACAGTTTGACAGCACTTTGATAGTGCTCCATTATCGGACATAGAGTTGTCTGAGTTTCTGCCTGATGATTACACGAAAATCCCACGAAATTCGACTTCTTCAAGTTCTTAAAAGATCGTCTGGGAAGAGATTAATTTCAGATCAAATCTGAGAATCCAAAACAGGAGCTTTTTGAGTGTTTTTGTTTCTCTCCCACAAGTGATATACCTATTCAGATAATGAATCATTATATTATGTTTCCCCGTTTTTTGGGTAAAGACCGTTATTATGCTTCTCTTAAAAGACTTCCATTTCCTGAAAAAAAGGTCAGGCCAAAAAAATAACACAAAAGAGGCTATTTAGTATATGTATAAAAAAAATAATCGTGATCTCTAACGGGATTATTTTTAATATAAGAATATCTGTGAGGTGGGGAAAAAAGTTATAGTAATCTCTAGCTAGAAACTAGAAATCTCCCATAGATGAGGTTAAATTATTTAAGAGGCTTATAAAGAATTTCAATTTTTTTTTAGTTTATAAAGATATTTTTACAATAAATATTCTAAAACATAGTAGTTATAATTGTAAAAGTTTCTTGTAATTTCAAGAAATATAAGTCAGAATTTTTCATATGATAATATGATAGGGGAAAAACTACATACTTAACATTATATATTTAATGTATTTGTTGTCAATTAAATCAAGACATGCGGATCTTGTGTAGATTGTTTATTCTACAATAAATTCTTGTTATTAACTTTATTAACAAATTAAGATTTATTTGTTCTGATTTGATTGGATATAAGTATATTAAGTATATAAAGTTAAGCATACAAGTCTTCTTCATATGATAATTCTAGAAATTCATTTTAACTTTAAAAAACATGTAATAATTTCAAAAATATATAACAGTGACTTGGACATATAAATTTTATTACATTTATGAAACGTGGTAAAAGTTAAAACCCAAAAATAATTAACAATTTTTTTAAAAATTACTACAAAATTTTCAAGTGATGAGAGAATTAGAAGAATATTTCTCTTTTTCATTAATTTTAAACTACATAGCAATTTAGTCAGGAAAGGTTTATCTTTTGTTCTTTGGAAGAGAAAATCTTTATTCTCGATTTAGTTTACCTCTACTTCTTGTACTGACCCAAAAAAAAAAAAAAGTAGGAAGAATTGCATAATAAGCCCTAAAACAGTAAAAAATTTCACTTTGGGCCCAATATATTCTAATATTGAATTATAAGCCTGAGGCTCTTGTTGCAATTTTTTTTAAGAGAGAAAGTATAATTTTGCCCTTGTGTGATTTGAAAACTCAAATCATATATAATATAATATTTATAAATGCACAACACAATGTCCATGCGTGTCCAATTGATCTATAGGTTAAAATATGCATCACAAAGAGCATATACGACACAATATTTATGGATGTACAAAGCGATATTTATGAATTCCCAACACAATATACATGTATATCTAATTGATCTATAGGTTAATTAAAATAAAATCATGTAGAGCATGTATAATATAATTTTCATGGATTCAAAATATAATATCCATAGATGCTAGAGTTGGTAATTTGGACAGCATGGGCTTATTCAAGTTGAGCTCAATTCGAGCCGAACTTATTCGAATCGGGCTTGAAGTATTCTATTCTCTTAAAAAAGCTCATGTAACCAAGCTCGACCCTAACTGTTTTTAGGAGGGTTCAAGCTAGTCTATCAGATTTGGCTCGAATTATCAACTCTAATGGATACACAACACGATGTTGATGCATTCTCAACTGAATGTTCATGGACATTGTGTTGAGAATGCATGAATATCACGTTGTAATCCATGAATATTATATTGTATATTGTCTGTTTTATTTGTATATTTTATTAAACCTACTGATCAATTAAACACGCATGGACATTGTTTTGAGAATTTATGAATATTATGTTATGTATCGATAGATATTGTATTGTACATGATCTAAGTTTTTCAAATCATATAAGAGCAAAATTGTTCTTTTGCTCTCAAGAAAAATTACAACCAAAACCATTGGGCTTACAGTGCAATAGCAAAATATATTAGGCATATAACTCAATTGTTTGCTCTTTTGAAGCCTACAGTGCGATTTCCCAAAAAAGTACTGCTTAATGAGTCAACAAATCCCTAGTTAAATCTAAAGATAAAAGGAGAATGATAGTAAATTTCAAAACACCGAATTAATGACATTCGGTCCTCGACAAAATTTGTTGCAAAATGAATTATAAATATTAATTTAAATAATTATAAATAAAATTTTATGTTATAACCTAATATTTATATTTGATACTTAAATATTTATTAAAACTCTTGAATATGTAATTATTTGGATTGATTTTTTCAACTAATTTTTCAAAAAAAATTCATCCAAAACTTAACTATTATTAATTTAATATTATGAGATTTAACTATCATTTTTTTGAAGATAAATGGTATATTTCCTTTTTATGTTTTCTTTTTCTTTCTTTTTTAGTTGTGTAAATGTTGGATCATGGATGGTTTTTTTTTTTTTTTTGGGGCGGGGGGTGTTGGGGCCTTGTGGGGAAGGTGAACGATGCACTCCAATGAGCCGCCAGTTAAGCCACTGTCTCCCCCCCCCCCCCCCGGGGGCACCCCAAAGCATCGAGGAATAGAAGTGCTGTAGTTTAGGCGTTTAAGCATTATTTGAAGGTTTAATTTTTAAAAATGTATATGAAAAAATATTATTTAAAAAAAGAAAATCTTTTAAATGATGGTTAAATTTTTTATAAGATTAGTTTCGTAACTGTCGATTGTAGGGATACCTTGAAGGAGACAAAAAGTCATGTTATTTGTATTTAAGGAAAAAAAAAAGAATTACAGCCAGCCTTTCTTAAAAAATTTTATCATGAAAAAAAATTAATACAAAATAAATTATTATTAAAATATAAAATATAATTTTTTAAATATAATTTATTATTAATTTTTATCTGTAATTAATTTTTTTAAGAAAGAGCTGATTTTAATTTTTAAAAAATAGTCATGCTGTTGGGCTTCGTTTGAACAGCTGCGATGACATACGGCGTCGTTAGATGGCTGTAGCGCAGCTGCGCTAGATTTGTACTGGCGAGTTTCTTGGTTCATCTTCCTCACCTGAGTGTGGAAAGGCCGATCGTTGGAAGCGGGAGAGAGAAAATGAGCATCGCATCGACTGCAGCGTACCTTGCTAGGCGAGCTGCGCAGAAGGAGAGGGTTCGGATCCTCTACCGCCGTGCCCTTAAAGACACCCTCAACTGGGCTGTCCATCGCCACCTCTTTTACGACGACGTATTGCCCATTTTCTCGATCTCTCATATTTAAAACTCCAATTTCTAGCTGAATCTTTCAATTTTTCTCACCTTTCTTTTTATCCTTCTCCAGGCTTCTAACCTCCGGGAAAGGTTCGAAGCAAACAAACATGTGGTTCGTTTCCCTGATGCCCTTTTTTACTTTCTATCAAATGTTAGTTTTGGTGGATGATCCATTTTTTTTAAATGATATTATTCCCTAGATTTGTTCTGGAATATATTGTAAAAATGCTCTAACATTTCGTTTCTAATAGCTATCGGCAGAATTATCTTTTTGATTAATGGCTGCAAAATCTTCATTTGATGATGGCAAGATGTTGAGGAAGAGAGATTTGTTTCCTTTTGTATGAATTTTTTATATTTTGATGTGAAATTGGGTAATGTGACTGAAGAATGATTAGCTCTAATATTATGAGGACTGTTTAGCAATTAGGAAAATGAATGAAAAGCTTACATTCGATCGCTAATCTTCTTTTGGTCAAAGAATTAGGTTTTGGTATTTTTAATATTCTTGCCATACCCAATTACGCTCCTCCATTCTCTCATTCTGGATGCGTTTTGTTTTGGCTGGATACATGTAGGAAGACCTTGATACTATCGATAGACTGATAGAGGATGCTGAAGCAACCTACAATAAGTGGCGGCACCCTGACCCTTATATAGGTAAACATGTGACCAAACTTGCATAAACACTGATTTCTGAGCTACAACGGGTGGTCGTGGCAGTGTTTGTTTTATGACAACACGTAGCCATGATTTTCTTTAATTCCAATGGATCCTATATTATTAATGTAAATACTTCAAGCATAATCATAAACATCCCTACTCTTGTTTGGAGGATTCATGGGCAATCGGGAACCTTATTTCATTTGTGATGAATGTGAAATATGTGGGTAGCCCTCGCTAGAATGATAGCAAAGGAACTAGGGTTTTATACTGATAATTATGCTTTCGCGGATGATTCAAAGTTAGAAAATTTTTTGACTGCGGAAATGTAAAGAGATGAACAATTTTCAGGCAATAGATAACTATGCTGGCAGGAATAGGGTTTTGGATTTGATATGTTTTTGGTAGATCTTAGAATGAACGATTATGCAGATGAATTTAATGTGCTGTTTGCCAAGAATAACTAGCTTCACATAATTGAATGCATGAAAAAAAAAAAGAGTTATATTCTTAGAGTACCTGTACTCAGTACATATCTGTATGACTGTGGCTGAAATTTTGTTTTACCTGCCCTTTGTCACCCCTATGGATGATAAATCTTAAAATGAATAAAGTAACCACTCAGTAAAGCTATTAACCCTTGATATATTAACTAGTAAGGATATTTGGATGTATTGCCCTCAACTGAGACTGAACCAAACCGATGTCCTCAGACAATTTGATCTTCAAGATGATGATTGCTTGATGTTAGTGTGTCCTGTGGCATTACCTTATGTTATTTGTTGCAATTCCATTGCTAACATCTTTTTCTCCTTTTTTGATTTATTCTAATAATAGTTCCTTGGGCTCCTGGTGGTTCTAAGTTTACTCGCAACCCAACTCCACCTGAAGGGGTAAGTCATTATGTTTATATACTAATAAGTTTTTCTGTGTATTTATTTTTCTTGGTTATGCTTTATATGATGGTTATAACTTATAACTAACACGTGGATCAAAGTTGACTAGTGAATGCATTTGGTGGATGGCACAAGAATGATGAAATACTTGAAAACAATAGAACAGTGAAGATCATGTGATCATGTTTTGTGCAGGCAGTTAGGTTGCGTGCTACCATTCCCTATACTCCACTTTTGTTGGAGCTATATTTTCTTCATTTCCCTTTAATTCCTTCTATCGGTTATTTCCCGTGGACAGAATAGAACATCAAGGATGCACTAATCAATAAATTCATTTGCCCTTTTTTTTTTAATAGTAAAGACTGCAAAGTCGTTGGTTTTATCATTCTCTCAATTCCGCCTTTTTTATGGAACAAAATGCATCTCAAATAATTCAGAATTTATACTTTACAAAGTACTCCAAATATTTTAAAGAATGTGGGAAAACGGGGAACATTCTTTGCTATAGAGCATGTTATTCTTTCCGTGTGGTGCTGCCCCCAGTTCCTCATTGAATCCTCTCCTGCTATAGCTGTGGGTTGAGTTTATTTCCGGCTGAATTTGATAATATGTTGTTGATGCAGATTGAGATAATATATGATTATGGTCGTGAAGATAATGACTGAAACAGTCATTTCCTGTGCAATGAATAAAGGTCAGCAGTCAATCGCTCTTTTCATGAACTCTAAATTATAGACTCTGACTACACAATTACTCTAGTTATGAAGCATCTGTTGGTCCCCCCCCCCCCCGGGGCTTGGATGAAAATCATGGACATAATGTATGAGCGATGAGTATTAACCTTTCTGGCATTAATATTATCAAATTATATGTCCTGCTTTTTGAAGTTCTGTGTACTCTCTCCGGACTTCAATATCAGTCGTTGTTAATTAATTTACATTTCTCAAAAAAAAGTTTGTTAAAATCTTTATTTTTAAAAAAATTTCACTTCTTTCCAATTGTGCCTTTAAGTGTAATGAATATAACATTTGACTTATTCAAAACATTCTCATTAATTACTCAATAAAGTAAGAGTGTAATTGGAAGAATATATAACACCTACCTAATGTCTTGTGTTTTAGACCAAGCAAATCTTTTAAAAAACGACTTACACTGTGATATGGAGGGAGCATACAATTAATCAGTGTCGAGTGGATAGTATATTTGGTGCATATCTTTACCTTTTCACTTGACGCTCATATTGGGAGAAATGATCCATTTTACTTGCGTTTAAAATTTTAATCTTGCAGATAGAAATTACCCAGACTTATGAGAATGGAGAACGCAATGGCAGGCTTTGTGTTCGATTGTTGCTTGAACTTTGACTTATATGACATTGTCATTTCATTATGGTTATTGAAAGTTGGAGTTTCTTCATGCTTGTTCGTCCAACCCATAAATAGTTTGTCATGTTTCTGCATTTGGAGTAATCCCCGAACTTGACTGCAAATCATGTCCATAAAATTTTCTTTTCCATCCTTTTTTAAATAATTAGAAGGGAGCCAGGCTTTGGCAAATGATACATTATGCCCCATACGGGTCCAACAAGTTGAGAAACAAGAGTTAGTACAATCAGCAAGGGGTTTGTCGAATTTCCTAAATAACCATAACGTCATCGTCAACACGACTGTTGTCTTCACGAGCGACGTTTCTAATTGTGATACGCCAATCCCTGATAATTGGGTTTCGAATATCTGAAATGAGATCCTCGTATAGGTTTTCATTTATGTTGTTCTGAATTATTGGCGATGTTAACTAGTAACATCCAGCTTTTGTTACTCTTGTGGCTTCAAAAAATGGTATGAAGGGTGTAGTCGCTCATGTGATTTTGAAGGCCGAGGTGATTGGCAGATCCTACTGATGTCAATTCTTGAGAGGTTAAGACTTTGAACAATAACTGATGCGATTGTTGTGTTAAAATTAACGTCAATCTTAATTTTGGCGAACGTCAGATGTTTCATGGCTGTGATGCCATTTAGATGTATGAATACTCGAATACTTGTTGCTTTTCAAATGAAATAAACGCCAAAAATGAAGATTTCTTTGATGGCGGTGCTAATTTCAAGCTTTAGAGCTGAGCATAGTTTGCGTCCATAGAAATTACGTGGAGATATCACTTACCCTTACAAATCCTTCAAGTTTATGACTATGCGTGAGAAACTTTTATAGTCAAAAGGCTACATGGTTAAATGCATATGATTAAAGTTCAAAAATTATGCCTCTTTATTCATCATCCATTTTCAGGCTTAGAAGTGAAAGATGATGAAAGATGGTAGTCTTTTGTTGTTATTTAGGTACTTTGTACCTTTTTGCTTTCATTTTTCCAGTATTATTAAAAAAAAGTTCAAAAATTATTTGCCAAGAAACACAGGATTCAAGAGATTATTTACATTAAAAAAAATTGACAGATACATCCCACTTTCTTAAACAAACAGATTTACTAACACACATCTTTCTTTTAACCTTTATGTGAATTATTTTCTTTTATAATAATATTATTATTGTCCTTTAAAAAAAAAGATTTACTAACAACAAGGTCAAGAACTGTTTACACAAAATTAAAGTCTGAAATTTTCAAGATTTGACTACTACAAAATTTTCATATATAAATATGTAATATAAAATTTAAAAAGATTATGCATATTTTTACCTATTTTTAATTTAATGGCCACTCCTCCTAATGGATTGTTAGAGCAACGAGGAAAATATAAATTTGACTCAAAATCAGTAACATGGAAACTAGAAACTTCTATCAGATAGAGCAAGGTAATAGACTGTGTCAGCAAACAATTTCAATTGAAGTCATCCACTCATCCCTCCTGTTCGTGGTTTCCAGCCCATGCTCTATGAATGAAACCAGCCAAAAAGAGGAAGAAAATAGCATAACTATGTTCATATTTTTCCTAATAAACGATTGCAAATGCCAGATTGCCTAAACTTGGCACTTAGTTAAAATGGATTACTCGTAAATAGTAAATAAATTTTTCAAACCAAATTAAGTAACTAACAACCTCAAGTTTTATACTTCAACTAAACTTCACATGCAACCCAACCCCCCCTGCTTCCATAGCTAAAAAGATTCCACTTGAAATCCTAGCTGCAACATTGATGCCTTGATGGTAAGTATAAATTCCACGTGCGGTTCCAATTTCTGTGGAATGTAAGTGAAGTCGCCAGTTAGCAATTCATATTACTTTCTCACCCAATACCGAACTTGCAGGTTTTGATCACTCAGCCTCAAATTCAATGTATTCTCATGATATGAAAGTAAAAGATAGGGTTCCTTGCTCCACATTCTTCCGGTAGTAACTATATCTATAAATTAAGGCTTCAAGTGTCTTATGCTGCTGCTAACGATGTAATTCCAGCAATGACATTCCTATTACAGAAACTATTCAGGAACTTGGCATAATGCGGATAAGAAGCCAGAAGTTCTTTACTCATTAATTTCAGTTAACTTCACTAGTTTAGTTGCAGCTTTAAAGATTATAGAGTCTCGTGTCTATACTACCTAGTTCTTACTCTACCAAAACCAAAAACCTGAGCGTGGAAAACGTATCAATCCTAAGTACAAAAAGGAAAGAAATACAAAGGAGGGAAAAAAAAAAACTGAACCGTGATGATAATTCAGTTCATGAACAAACAGAGAGGAGAATTCACGAAAATGCTACTAATATAGTATAAATAAAGGATAATCTCCATTTGTGCAGGCCAAAAAAGTAAGAACCATACAATCCAGTATAAGAACCATACAATCCAGTATGAAAATCGAAGCACATGAAGTAGTAAGGTGAATCCGAACAAAATGTAGTATTCAGCAATAAATGGTAATGGGAGCATAAATCAGAGACCTGTAAAGTTTAGTCCTACTACCAAAACCCCAAAATCCGATGAGCAAGAAAATTTGTGCATTCGACATCAGATAAGCTTGAATGGAAGAGGCCAAGGAGTAGACCTGGGAACCTCGACTTTGTCCTTAATGCGCTCGATCATCTTCTCTCTCTTTGGCCGAGAATTGCCGTACGATCCCTTGAATCTCTTCCCTCTCTTCGTCTTTTTGTCCCCGCGCCCGCACAATACCGGCAACGGCATAGCTCCTGCATAAGACGGCGCGGCCGGAGCAGTTACAGTCAAGGTCCGTCTCTGTGTCTTCATAACCCACCACAGTACTGAACCAGATCTCTGCATCGCTTTCGCACGAGTTGCCATTGTCTTTGCTTGCTCGCGTTTCAGGGGCTAAACCATGAGAACAGAACAGGAGGGAAGGGAACTCGCTGAAGGCTGAATGGGCTGGGCTTTGCTTGGAAATTGATTCTGTGGGCTGTTCAGGCCCAATAGTCTCTGCTGATCATTTGTTAGTGGATCATGGTCAGTTTGATGGCACGTGACTAGGTTCTCGGTGGCGTCTTTCTGGCTCCTGGTCCAAGGCACTATTGCTCTCCCCAATGATTTTGGGAGGGTTTTCCCGAATCACCATCTTCTGTAACTGAATAGGGGGGAAAACAAAGGAATCCAGCACCCAAAAAACCAATCGTATTTATAACTAATCAAGATAAACAAGTCATGATTTTATATCAAGAAAGAGTTTCATGTTTTTACCCGTAGGATGAGCTTATTTATAAAATAAGATCTTCAAAAATTCAACCATTAAAAGCCATTGTCAAAGTTAATGCATGAAAGCAAGATGCTTTCAACTTTCAATCTCTTATCGAATATATTAAATAAGGCCACTCTATCAATATGTTGGCAATTCACGTTGAAGTTATTTTTTTAACAAAAAGCCATGAATTAGGCCACATAACTAACAGGCATTGGACAGTGGAATGACCTATGATTGTTTGAGCATGAGATTGAGTTAGAATTCACATGAATGCCAAAAAATGCTTTCGAGAGAGCTGCTTTTAATTAGGCTCACAATACTCAAATATGACTCATTTAAATGGTTATATATATATGTATATATATAAAATCAACTGTTATAGTCAAAAGGGGAATCTATGAAGGTTTTACATAATAAAGATCAAGTGAAAGAGGAGTTTAAAGGAGCAAAAAGCTTTCGACTTTTGAGAAAGCAGAGATTCAGCTCGTAGTTGCAGATATATGAGGAGGTGGAGGATGCCAAAAGCATAAGATGCTGAGCCTGCTAGCCATGGATACACCTGCGCGCGCATCATCATTATTCAGTAGATATCCTTACGTGCCATTTGCTGATATTCAAATTCCATTTTGTATTCTTTAAGCTAAAGCTGCCCTTATTATATATATACATATGCCTTGTCGATTGCTTCTATCCAGAATCTTGAATATTCTGTGAAGTGTGAAGGCTATCTCATAATATTTATATATGCCTCCACAATGCAAGTAAACCCAACGCAACATATATATCAAAGTCGTCAGATCTTGCTACAACTCAATCTTTATCAGCTTCATAAACGATGAGACAGTGAGAATATGAAGGACGCCTTGATGACTTTTATCCCACTTGCTTTTGTTTCGTTCGCATATACCATATTTCCTCATCAATACAAATTAAATTTGCAATAATGTTTAATCTTTAACGACCAGTGGAAAGGCCCATTCAATTTCTTAATTAACAAAGCCTTTTGATTCTTGTCCATCTCCTGCAATTTCTACTTCAAAAGTTCTAGGGTCATCTTGGATATTTGATCGAAACTAGAAAGGATTTTGAAGGAAGTATGATCAACCGAGAATTTATCATTTAAATTAAGATTATCAAGGAATTGATGGATGCTCCTTATGAAATTAAATAAGCTTCACTCATCACTTAAGTAAGTGGTTGGGAGTTCAAATTTTTGTCATTTTATATGTCGTAATTTAATTAAAAGAGGTCTACCCGTTGCTCTTAATACATTAACAGAGATATTCTTTACTATCAATAAAATCTACTTATGCTTATCCCCCCCAAAAAAAAAAAGTCCTTACTCAAACAGGCAAATGAAATTATTAGGATTTTTTTTACTAGATGATTGATTAGCACTTTTTATTATAAGACAAATAATGCATCGCCAAATTTTTTTTTGAGGTAGATTGTATATTATATACTCCTTCTATTATAAAATATAAAGCATTTATAATCAATTTTCATCCCCCAATAAATTAGGGTAGTTATTTATTTTTAAAGTAACCCTATCTGTTTATATTTATTTTTATTTAATATGTTGTCTCATCTTAAAATAAATATAAAGTAATTTATTTGATATGGGCACTTTTAAAAAAAAAACATAATAATTACATTTTAAAATGTATTATATTTTTTAACGGAGGGAGTAAGCATTTAAATGTCACATATCTTAAAATTATTAATTAATTAAGCACTTCATATCATATTGAAATAATGTTCATGATTTTGAAAACTCAATTTAGATATATTTTAATGAGGGGCATGCATGTCATTTGGCCACTCATACTCTTTCCTTCTTTAGTTGATTGCTTTATACCAAACTTCTAACACGGGGGAAAAAATCATGAGATTTCTTTTTACAAACAAAACAAATTTTAACTCCAAAATCGTACAAAAGCTTCTCTTCTTATCCCTCTTCATTTTTCTCAAAACTGGCTCCATTCTACCAAATATAAGCTAAAAGTTAGTGGTCGGTCTTCTAACAAACATTTCTTGGTGGGGGTGAGTCTTGACTATTGATATTCCGGTCTAGATACCAATGTTAGCATGCTCTCTTTTGGTATTCCACTGACATTTGAGCTTGTAAATATATTAAATGCACGGATTCTCTACATAATTATATCTAAAACCGTAAGTGTCTTTTATGCTACTAAAACATTCAGGCGTATGGACACCGAAAAAAAAAAAAAAACATAAAACATTTATGATAGTATCATACCACGAACTATCACCAATAAAGAAAGCAACACCCCAAAACAAAAGTTAAACTAATTAATACTATAAACATAGACCAAGTAAGTAAATCAAATTTGTGAAAATTCCAACAATAACATAATTTTGGCATGCATGAAAGTTTTGGATAAGTTAAATTTGGAGATTTTTCAAAATTTAAAGAGCATTTTTAAATTACTTACCAACAAAAGTATCACATGATTAGTGAAATTTGACCTCATAACTTCAAAAATTATGGGTTAAATTCTTACTAACAAACCAGTATTTATTGGTAATGATAACATAATTAAGATAGACAAACTAGCAAGTGACAACGAGATTCACCAATGGTAAGGGTAGTTGAATGGCAACCAAATTGAGGAATCACGGAAGAGGGGGTGGTGAACTGATGAAGAAAGGACCTTTCAATGATGCAATGTGACTTGATGCAAGGAATTCAAATTTAATTTGGTTATTATTTGGAATACAATCAAGGACCGTGAAAGGAGTCATGAGGGGTAGACTTCGATGTAATGCTAAATTTGGGGAGCATCAAAACGCGTGGTGACATGACACGGTGAATGGAACAACGCTGGGAGGCCACAAATATGCCAACAAAGTTGTCGTCAACAGTCAACACTGGCACACAATTTCCACAATTCCAGCTCCTCCCCTTCTTTTCTTGCCAGCCCCACCCCACACCTACGCATTATTTCTTCTATATTTTTTTTTCAAAAAAATATTTTAATAAAATAAATTAAAATTTTAAAGACTAAATTATATCAACTTAAAATTTACAAATTAAAATACAATAGAGTCAAAAATTTAAAAATTAAGTTATTAAATTATAATTGAATTAAAATTAAAATTATAAGAATTAAATGATTAATTTTTTATTATTTATAACAAATAGAATGCATATAACTCTAATTTCTCATAATTCCTGTCGAACCATTTCACATTACTGTTCCAAATATTTCATACCTCCCTTGCTAACTTTTCCTCACTATCCTCTTGAAAAATATTTTTTAATTGGTTGTCGACCAAGTTTTACACACAAATTAAATAACTTACTAAATAATGAACAACAACTTATATACTTAATTATTTAAGTCATTCTTTCAATTAAATTGCATACTTGAGATGATTATTTCTAATCAAATCAAAATATGCAAATCTTTTATAAATTATTTATTTTATAATAAATTTTTGTTAATAATATTATTAATACATTAAAATTCACTTGTTTTGATTTAATAAGATAAAAAGATATTGAATATATAAGACTAGTCTAACCCTTTAATAATCTAAAATTCTAAATCATAGTAAAACCCAAAAATATATAATCGAGATACTCCTATATTAAGCATTATTATTATTATTATTATTATTATAACTTGCACAAAATCTTTTTAAAATGAGGAATTATTATATAAATAAATTAAAAACATTTTTATAATTTAAATATGAATTAAATTATCTGAGCCTTGTAATATGATGCATGAGCTCATGATTCCATATGATAATGACATTTATGGATATCAGAAATTAGAATCCAACTTGTCTTCGTTGTTGAGGAGATGGGTTCATCCACATCATGACCGTTAGTTCCTCACGCACACGGCAACGCATTCACGAACCGCCCCAGAGAAGGCCCCCACCGTATCGCCATTAACTCGATCCAATTCAATCAATCAACTCACTCAATCACGCAAAAATGATTCCCTCCTGCTTTTTCATTGACTTTCAACTTAATTTCAACCATTTTTATCCATTTAGTGGAATAATTATTCTATAATTACGAATAACCTGATTTTAATTTAAAAAACTATCCTATTTACATCCCCAAAAAAATGGCAAACTTTTTAAAGAATCAATATCATCAATAATCAATAATTGAAAATAAATTCCAAATTAAAGCATTTAATGCAATAACTAATTCAATTCAATGAATTCATACTTCACCCTAGATAGCCTTGCATTGTTAAGCTGAGACAAAGAATTAAAAATAATACACGCACGCACGCACGCACGTATATATATATATATATATATATATATATATTTTACTCGGTCAGCTGAACCACGCAAACTTTTACTAGGATGGACAGAGGATTTAGCGAAATAAAGAAAGGGATGGATTTGAAGCAGAGCTCTGATGGCTCTTGGGGGAAAATTAACTACAAGTCTTGGCGGTCAAAAAAAAAAAAAACCAAAGTACAATATCCCTTGGAATTGAAATTCTGGCAGAGGCAAACAGGCATGAATGGAGGGAGGATCACGGTACACGCTTCCCTCATTCAATCCTCTTTCATTTTTAAAGTTTTTCCCCCTAAACTCAGGTAATAAAAAAGCAGGAAAATCAACGTTAACAGACGACCTCCACGACAAGCGTGAATTTAAAAATACGCACCACCAACATGGGAATGCGAACAAGCGACCAACAATCAAGCAACACAGTAGGACCACTGCTCATCATCTGCGGCAACAGAATCAGTAGAAACGCCATTGAAATCATCATCAGATGCGCAGTAGTAAAAGCCATTATTGTTGTTGCGAGCAGCAGTCAAGCAGCAAGAATCAACGGCCAGATAAGGCATGTTGTTGAAGGAGCGGGCGAGGCCCGTAGCCAGTGCTGAAGCACTGTGTACCCTGTCATCATACTCATCCTCCATTTGCTGCTCAAAGCACTCTTGCGCGCGGTGCTTCAGAGTCTCAAACATGAGCTCGGGCTCGTGCTGCATCACCCGTAGGACATCCGCACACGACGGCCCCGGCATGGCACGCGTCACCGCGAAGCTGTAAGGACCGTCGCTCTGTGACACCCGAACCACGCTCGGGCCACCAAACAGATTATGGAGTCCTCCGAGCGCCTCCTCGTAAGCCCCGCCCAAGAACATTCCCATATAGTATTTTCTATGTCTACCACCTTCGCCTTCCAATTCATGGAGCGGCAAACTAGACTCGCCCCCTATGAACTTGTCGATTTTTCCATCACTGTCGCATGTCAAATCAGATAAAATTCCCCTCGCTGAGGGCTTCTCGTCCAGACGATGAATGGGTACTATGGGAAATAGTTGTCCAATGGCCCAGAAATCTGGAATGGATGTGAATAGCGAAAGATTGGCATGGTAAGTCTTTACCTTATCTTTCGCCCCTATTGCCTTATTCACCGTGTCACACAACCCATCAACAGCAGCAAGTTGCTCCATGTCCAGAGAACCTTGTTTGAATTGCTCAACACATCGTTGCTTCAATTGATCGGTGTACAGCAAGCAGGTATCATACTCACCTCTCATGGCCGCAGCAGAAAGGTTGTTATAATCTGCACGAGCATCCTCCGAGAATCTCTCAACCAAATATTGCAGCCCAAGAGTGGACAATGCTGGAGCTTCGTATGAAGTTGCCGAAACCACTTCAAAGATCAAAACAGAGTGATGAGAGACGATGGCTCTGCCACTTTCACTGCAAAGCACGGGGTGCTTGATGGACCTGCGATCACAGACACACTGAATTGCTTGAACAACCGCTGCAGCATACTCTTGGAGATCATATCCAACAGATATGTCAGAGTCAGCGGACTTGGAACCATCGTAATCTATGCCCAGACCACCTCCAATATCGATTACTTGCATATGAGCGCCTAGCCGAACCAATTCACAATAGATCTGTGCAGCCTCTCCAACCCCATCAGCCAGCAATGTGGTGGAAGGAATTTGAGAGCCTATGTGGAAATGCAGCAATTGTAAGCAATCAAGCATATCCACTTGTTCCAGCTTTTTCACGACGCGCAGAATCTGGACTGTGGTGAGCCCGAACTTCCCTTTCTCCCCTGAAGTTGAACCAAAATGCCCAGAATGTTTTGTCCTCAGCTTAGCTCGAACCCCAATCACAGGTCGAATGCAGAGCTGCTTGCTCAAATCAATGATCAAATCAAGCTCTTCCTCTAGCTCGAGAACGATTACGGTATTCAATGCGAGCTTCCTTGCAATCAGGGCCAGAGAAATATATTCGCTGTCTTTGAACCCATTACAAACCAGAAAGGCTTCTGGATTACCCTTGCACAAACAACTCATAGCCAGGAGGAGCTCTGGTTTTGATCCCGCCTCTAGCCCAAACCGGAATGGAGACCCAAAATTCACAATATCTTCCACAACGAACCGGTCCTGGTTGCATTTCACAGGGTAAACACCTTGGTAATGGGATTCGTACCCCAGAGACTGAGTTGCGTACTCGAACGCCGAGTGAAGGGACTCAAGCCGATTCTTCAGCACGTCCGGGAACCGAACAATGAGGGGAAGCTGCATCCCGAGGCCGCCAGATGATTTGGGATCCGAGACTTTTTTCACAATCTTGAGCAAATCAATCTCCTGGTGAAAAAGAGTCCCTGAACCGTGAGGCCGGACAGAGACATTCCCGGATGAATTCACGGAGAAGTAGGGAGCACCCCACCCATTGACCTTGTACAGGGAAGCAGACAGAGAGGGCGACCAATGGGAATTTTCCACGGCAACGGTGACGGTGTTGTCATCGGCGGTAGTGTGGCTCGTCGCCGGAGGCAAGCCAAAAAATGTGACCGGCGCCAGAAGAGAGCTGTCCCCAGCTAAAGCGTAGCCAGGAGGACCAAGTGCAGCATCCACGCAACAAGCTAAGGCCGGCATCTCTTCCGCGACGATCAAATTAAATTAGGGAAAAAGATTCTCAAAATTTTTGCGAGCTCGAGCAGATGGGGGCTTTAAAACCCGCCGAGGCCGAGGCCCCGGCTACCCCCTCAAAAGAAAACAGTAGAAGATCTATTGAAAATGGAGAAACCCTCCCTCTTCTCCTCACACAATTCCGAAATCCCCACACCGACCCCTCAGAAGAAGGATTTCCTCACGGATAACGAAACGAAAGAGGCAACGAGAAAATGAGGTCAGCAACTAAACACGGAAAGCTCCCCACACCATGCAGATCTGGATCATGGATTCAAATAAAAGAAAATAACCAGAAGCTCAGGGTGATCGGCGACAGAGGGGAAAATAACTATGAAACAGCACAGGCAGTTTCAGGGGAGATCAAAATCGAGGGAATGGAAAGGAAAATTGAAAACTGTGGGGAAATGACGGAAAATAAAGATGGAGGAAATGACGGAAAATAAAGATGGGTTTGAATTGAACGAAAATTATGGAGAGAAGCACAAGAATTAATGAAGATGGATGCGAGAAAGACGGAAGCCAAGGCGGAAGTGAGCGAGAATTGTATGAGCGGCGAAGCTAATTTATATAGGGAGGGAAGGGCCGATTGGGCCGTGGGCCCGGATCTTGGACTCCAAGAGATATCTAGCAAATTCTTTTTAACAAGACAAACCCTAAAAAAACCTTAGCCTATGTCATCAAAATCTTCAATTAATATCAATATTAGATATTAGACATTATTATAGGATGCACAATGAATATTATTTTTTTGAATGGATGAATATTGTTTATTAGTCATAACTGGTGGTGATTATTCATTGTATGTAGCCTAACAGAAAAAAGCCAAAAACGAAGAAAAAGGTTAATTCAAAGCGTCGGTTTAGATGAGAAAATTCAAACTCTCGTGTTTTTGTCACAAAGAAAAATCTGTAATCCCATTTTGGTTGAATTTTGTATTATATTTCTGGGTTGCCTTGGGACCGGGTGAGGGGGTTGGGGACTAATCAGCGTCGAGTTGCCGCGTGACTCGTGAATGCGGGACCCTTCTGCTCTCGTGGAGTACCAGAAGTCGCGTTCACGATATAATGGGATGAGGTGAGGGGTGTTCGTTTCGCGTGATTTTAGCGCGATATTTCGTGAACGAAGCCACTAGGAAGTTTCCTTCTTAGTCTGGGGGTTGGGGGATTCCAGGATACCGATGGACCCTCAGGATGGTGACACGTCATCATATGGTTGCTACCGCTTACCGTCCGTCTGGAATCTGGAGATATGTACAGTGCCACATTACATTTTTTTCGTTCGATTCATTGCATAACATTTCTTTTTATTATTTCAATCATGCCCACTCAAACTAATCTGAGTTACTATTACTCTCTAGGTATCTTTTATAAAACGCTTTTAAAAAAAAAATCTTTTTATTCTTAATATAAAGTACCAGGTGGGTATTAATTAAACTTTTTTTAATATTTTTTATTTAGGAGAAAGAAAATATTACAAATTTTAAAAAAATTATTTAAATAAGGACAGAAAGAAGATGTGAAGTTATTCTTATTAACAGTGGCTTTGCAAGTATCTCGACATGCCTTCAATAATTTTATTTATTGTAATTGCATATTTTAAAATTAAGATTCTATAATACGCTAATTTGACTCTCTTAACCTATCAAATCAAGTATGTTGAATCTCATGCTGACCAAGATTGTGGGCAAACTTTGAAACTCTGAAAATGTTCGTGGGCAATGCAATTAAACCTACGATCTAATAAATCATGGGTGAAGTACTTGTGCAAGGATATAACATTTTGTTATAGAAGAATATAATTCTTCCATATAAAATTGAAATGACTTCTTATATCCAAGTTTATAATATAACTTCAAATAAAATTATGCACATTAAGAAAATTCATTAAACAAACTCCACAATCTTACTTTTCCAAAATGGAATTTCAAATCTTTAAAAATATCATTTATTGAATAATCTAAGACATAGAATATAACAATGAGAGAATGACAAATATTGAAAAAAAAATATAATTAGAAAACTTTACTTTTATAAATTATCGATTTTTTTTAGTTTAAACGTGTTGATGTGATTAAATAAGTACTGAATCCTTGATGATAAATTTTGTGCAGCAAGGTTGAAATGAAATATTTTAAATCATTTTTCTATTTACCAAAAAAAAAAAAATCGACCGTACTGTCGTTTGACGGGGCTAAGTGAATTAATTTTAGGAATGTTGAAGATAATCATTTGTATAGCTTGCCAGGTACGTTGCCCGTGAAGAAGGTTTTGGTGATATTTAGGAAACGATGACATAGAGCATCATGCCAATGAGGCACCGCTAACCCACGAGAAAAGGTAATCACGTAGCCCACTCCTACTTTTGGTGATGCGATTTAGGCCAATCCCATTCACGCCACGCCATCATATGCGCTGTATTCCTGTGGGCTTCTTTGTTTCCTGCCATTCATCCTTCATCAATTTTCCTCATATCTACTCTCCCTATTTAAAAATATAAAATATTTTTTAAAAAATTAAAATTTAAAAATATAAAATATTTTTAATCTTTTAAAATATAATCATTATATTTTTTAAAAATATTTTTATTAATAATAACTTTATATTTATTGTAGGATATCTAATATGGATAAATATAAAAAAATAAAATTAATTAAAAAATAAGTAATTACTTTATTAAAAGATGAGATTAAATTAAAAATATTTTATATTTTTTAACGAACAAAATATGCTTGAAATATCATTCATTAGCTAATTTTTTTTAAATTTTAAATCCTGTTGTGTGAATATTTTTATATTTTCTCTATCTTACAAGATATAAAAGACTTTTTGTCCGATGCTAAATGTTTAATGACATAAAACATTTTTAAATTGTTAGTGTATAAAATTACTTTTGTAAATTCACTCCTGGTGGCTAGAATTACTGTGGCCGTTATCATTCCTATCCCGTGACTCTTGGAATGTCGTTGAAAGTGATTCAGATCTAGTCAATGGTTAATTACTTTAAATTCATTTTTTAACAATAAAATACCGAACCAATATAAATACAATCCAGAAGTAAAATTACTGTAATGACCCAGCTAAAAAATAACTGTCAGGTTGTTTCGTTACGGTTTTTCAAAACTGTTTTCTATTTTAAAAAACAAAAAATTAAAAATTTATTTAACTATTCATTTAGGTGACAAGAACTTCTATTTATTATTTTAAAAATTGAATCGAATCATATGGTCAAAACCATTAACAACTTGATTTGGATAAAAAAAACCATTTCAATGATTAAATCGGATTAGGAGTTGAACCACTATTAAATCAAAAAAATATAATTGAACTAGGAACTGGAGCATTTTTTAGTAAACCAGATGGTTTTAAACATAGTATTAAAAAATTAAAAAAATTTAAAAAAATAGAAACATTCAAAAATTAGATCCCCACTAAAAGTTAGCTTTTTTTTGACAACTCACATGTGTAAAATGTAATTTGAAATAATTTTTTATAAAGATATTGATAGTTATAATTACAAATATAAATACTTTTGAGTCTACACATATTTAATTTAATTAAAATTTACTTATATTTGACAAGTTATAAAATTATAATTTATAATATTATTAATTTGCGATTGTGTTATGTCATTTTATTAAACATACTATAGATTTACTCACTCTGTTAAAACATATAAGGTATTTTTTTAAGGAATTAAATGTTAAAATATGTAAGGTATTTTTAATCTTTTAATGTATAATCATTATCTTTTTTTCAAAAGTGTCCCTATTAAATATATTATTTTATATTTTTTAGGGTAAAACACCCTATTAAATAAAGATAAGTATGAAAATATAGAATTAATTTAAGAATGAGTAACTATTTTATTGAGAATAAAATTTAATTAAAAATACTTTATAATTTTTAACAGAAAGAGTATTTCTTATATTTATTTTATATGTACGTGTAATATTATTTTTATTTAATTATTATATTACCGATTTAATTTATAAGACAATAAAAACGGAGAACTGCTAATTTTTTCAGTTTAATGTACTATCTGGCTTTTAAAACACTGTTTTACTAGTCATGCAATCACACCAGGTTTAATTAATTTCTTTGTTCATTTATATTTACTGGGTTTCATGGAACAATACACGTGTATATGTAGAACATGATAGTTATCTTTCATTTCTAATTTGCAAGCTTTGTTGCCGGGGGTATTGTTGAAAACAAGTCATTATTATATTTATAAATGTAAATTTAAAGCAAAAGAAAGTATTCGGAGATTTAAAAAAAAAAAAGACTCTGACAAATAAATAGAAATGGGAGAAATTTTTTTTTTTTTTGAAGAGAAAATAACAAGTAAAGGCATGGAAGGTACATTGTAGAATATTGATGCATGCCTCCAAGTCTCCCTTCTCCCCCATATGCCAATTTTTCCTATTCTTTTTCGTACATTCTAATATGACATAAATAAGTCTGAAGCTCAATGCTACTATTACTGTAGAGGATGAATTAATTGAGAGAGGTCTGAAAAAGATAATCTACGCAATGTTGGCAAAAAGAAAGGGAGGAGAGATTTGGAAAAGCGGGGGACGTGGGGAATATGGGAGTAAACCCGAATACATTTGACACGCATTTCACACGCTTCCTCCGCACCAATTCAAGATGAACATGATGGTGATATATAGTTCGACATTTGAAAGTATTAATTAATTACTTCTAATGCAGAAACAATTGAGTTACGAAAATAATTGAAGGCAAGAGGCGGGGGAGGTTGTCAACTGGGAGAGGCTGTTACAGGCAGGTCTCAACTGTAGGTCTTCAGGAAACGCCATGCCTTACGTTCCCTCTTGCTTCTCTTTCCTCTTTTGCTTTTTCACAATATCTAAGTCTTTGCCTTCAAGTAAACAATAACCCGTATCATCCGCTTCGATGACACGATGCCGTTTCAGAATGTTGTGTCTATTATCCAGACACATCTCAGCCTTCGATTCGATGAAATCGTGACCGTCCATCTACTTTTCACCTGTCACTGATTTCTCCATCCGTTCCTGGCCAATGGTTTTGTCCCTTCTACATTCCTCCGTATGTTGTTTCACGTGTTCTCGACTTCTCCTCACCCTCTCCCTGTGAAAAGCAAGTTTCTTTCGTTTGGTTGGACTTTTCAATTCCTTGTGTTTTCGGTGTTGAATTTGTCACTTTGATAAGCTGTTTGTTTTTTGGCTCACTCCAGCTTTTTCTTCCCCATTCGCCTCACTCGTTCTCGACGAACGGCCACGATTTCACCGAGTCAACGGCTGTAGGGACCGTCCTGAGTCCTGACACACATATGGGAGACAAAATTGGAAACCCCCGGTTAAAACTAATTTTCATATTTGTTTCATTTAAAAATATAATATTTTTTAAAAAATTAAATCTTAAAAAATATAAAGTATTTATTTTTAATTTTTTAATATATAATCATTATTTTTTAAAAAATATCCTATTAAATAAATTACCTTATATTTATTTTGAGTGAAACACTCTATTAAATAAAAATAAATATAAAAAAGGTATAATTAA